TCAGGGACAGGGGTTGGGGCCATGCTTGCTCGGGGCTCTGCTTCGCCCCACAAATCCTCTCCACAGCCCTTGGTGGCCACACCCAGCCAGGTGAGTGGCTGTGGTGGCTGGGATAGCTCAGGTGATCCCATCTCAGGTCCTCCTTGAGTTCTTGATTTCTGTTCTGGGTCCCTCCCACCAGCATCACCAGCAGCAGCAGCAGCAGCAGCAGCAGCAGCAGCAGCAGCAAATCAAACGGTCAGCCCGCATGTGTGGCGAGTGCGAGGCCTGCCGGCGCACTGAGGACTGTGGCCACTGCGACTTCTGCCGGGACATGAAGAAGTTTGGGGGCCCCAACAAGATCCGGCAGAAGTGCCGGCTGCGTCAGTGCCAGCTACGGGCCCGGGTGAGCCTGGGTGGAGTTGGGCAGGGTCAGGTGTTGGGGGGCAGTGTGTCCAAGAAGAGCTAAAATGGGTGGGCCAGGTGGGGTGGGGTCTAATTACATACAGACAGATGGGAAGGAGCCTGACCTGTCCAGATGAATTGGGGCATGCCCAGGTGTGCTGAGCCAGCAGGGGAGCCCACCAAACCCAGGTGGGCAAAGTAGGACCAGATGTTTCTAGGTGGTCAGGCATGTCAGGGCAGGTGGCAGAGGCCTTAGCATGTCCTGGTGATGAGAGGAGAAGGGGCAGGTGTGTCTGGAAAGGCACGGCAGGGCTAGTTGGTGGGGCCAAGCACCTGTGGGAGGGGCTAGGGCAGGGCCACCTTCCATCTATCTGGGGCTGACCTGGGCCTTCCTCCTGCCGGCACAGGAATCGTACAAGTACTTCCCTTCCTCGGTGAGTCCAGCCTCCCAGGGCAGGGCAGGGCATGCGGGCAGGGCAGTCAGGGCCAGTCCTGAGATTCTGCCCTGCAGCTCTCGCCAGTGACGCCCTCAGAGTCCCTGCCAAGGCCTCGTCGGCCACTGCCCACGCAGCAGCAGCCACAATCATCACAGAAGCTAGGGCGCATCCGTGAGGACGAGGGAGCAGTAGCATCAGCAGCAGTCAAGGAGCCACCTGAGGCCACGGCCACGCCTGAGCCACTCTCTGATGAAGACCTACCACTGGACCCTGACCTGTACCAGGACTTCTGTGCGGGGGCCTTTGATGACCACGGCCTGGTGAGCAGGCAGTGTCGTGTGTTGGAAGGGTAGAGGTTACCGAAATAGAGAGTATCCATAAGGTAGAGAGAGGAGGCCGAGAATATGGAAGGCCGATTTGTGAACTGAGTAGGTGGTGGGGGAGTCAAGAGAGGGGCAGATGGGCCAGTGTATGCCTCATTTGTAGCCCTGGATGAGCGACACAGAAGAGTCCCCATTCCTGGATCCTGCGCTGCGGAAGAGGGCAGTGAAAGTGAAGCATGTGAAGCGCCGGGAGAAGAAGTCTGAGAAGAAGGTGATGGAGACGGTGAAATGGATGTGGGAAGGCAGAGGGCAGGGTGAGGAGGGAGAGGCAAAGGCCAGGGGCCGCATGGGGTAAGAACCAGAAAGGGATGGAATGCAGGGGGAGACAGGGGTCTGGGGCTGCCTTCAACTCCATCCTGACCTGACCTGCCTCGTCCCATAGAAGGAGGAGAGATACAAGCGGCATCGGCAGAAGCAGAAGCACAAGGACAAGTGGAAACACCCGGAGCGCGCTGATGCCAAGGACCCTGCATCGCTACCGCAGTGCCTGGGGCCTGGCTGTGTGCGCCCTGCCCAGCCCGGCTCCAAGTATTGTTCAGACGACTGTGGCATGAAGCTGGCAGCCAAGTGAGTCATTCCTGGGGGGTTTAAGGGAGTCAGGCAGTACTGGGTAGGGCATGACCAGAGCCTTCTGTATGTCTACCAGTCACCTGTCCACCATTTAGTTAACCAGGCACCCACCTGTCCCTCCTCCCACTCACTTATCCATCTGTCTCTTCACTCTTCTATATACCATTCAGTCACTGTTGTGCCCATCCATCTACCATTCAGTCACCTGTTTACTTATCCTTTCACCATTTAGTCACCCATCCATTCTGCCATCCTTGCATCATCCCACTTACTCATCTTGTTGCTTGCCACCTGCCCGCACCCAACCAACTGCCTCCCTGCAGCCGCATCTACGAGATCCTCCCCCAGCGCATCCAGCAGTGGCAGCAGAGCCCCTGCATTGCTGAGGAGCATGGCAAGAAGCTGCTCGAACGCATTCGCCGTGAGCAACAGAGCGCCCGAACCCGCCTTCAGGAAATGGAGCGCCGATTCCATGAGCTTGAGGCCATCATTCTGCGTGCCAAGCAGCAGGCAGTGCGTGAGGACGAGGAGGTGAGCAAGTATGGGCATGGTAGTGCAGGGCCCAGTACCTGGTCCTGCCTGGCCTCATTGTTGCTTCCACCTCATGCAGAGCAATGAGGGTGACAGTGATGACACGGACCTGCAGATCTTCTGCGTCTCCTGTGGACACCCCATCAACCCACGTGTTGCCTTGCGTCACATGGAGCGCTGCTACGCCAAGGTCGGGGTGTCAGCCTGAGGGCTGTGGGAACCTCAGTGGGCCCATGGGGGTCAGATGTGTTTTCTGGGTGTTGTTTTGGGAGGGCATGCAGCGCACATCCACAGTTCCCTCCACTTGTGCTCATCCCTCCAGTATGAGAGCCAGACGTCCTTTGGGTCCATGTACCCCACGCGCATTGAGGGGTGAGTGTGGGCGCCACGCGGAGTCAGAGGAGGGAGGTTAAGGCTGGGATCAGAAGTGGAATGGTGGGGCAGCATATGGGTGTGGGCAAGGATAGGTGGCCCCCCTTCTTCTCTCCCTCCACTACCCTCTCTCTACTCCAAACCCCCAGGGCTACACGACTCTTCTGTGATGTCTACAATCCTCAGAGCAAGACATACTGTAAGCGGCTCCAGGTCCTGTGCCCCGAGCACTCACGGGACCCCAAAGTAAGGTTTTCCCTCAACTCTGCCGCATTCTGTCCCTCCTCCCCTCCTCTTGCCCCACATTTAGCTCTTCCTTCCTCACCTCCCCTGCTTCTTTGCCTTTTTCCTACATGACCATTTCCATAACCCCCCTTTCCCTGCCTCATCACTCTTCATTCCTCTCCTTTTTCCTGTGTCATCACCTCCTAGGCCTCCCCTTTCCCTGCCTCTTTATCCTCTAGTCCTTCCCTTTTCTACTCCTCTCCACCCTCCCCTGAACTCTCCATTCCTTCCCTCCTCCCTCCCTGACCACTCCCCCATTCCTGTCCTCCTTCCTGGCTTACCACCTCACATTCATCCCCATCCCCTGCTTTCCCTGCAGGTGCCAGCCGATGAGGTATGCGGGTGCCCCCTTGTACGTGACGTCTTTGAGCTCACAGGTGACTTCTGCCGCCTGCCCAAGCGCCAGTGCAACCGCCATTACTGCTGGGAGAAGTTGCGGCGTGCTGAAGTGGACCTGGAGCGGGTGCGCGTGGTAGGTTTTGATGCTGGATGTGGCCAGGGTCAGGCAGGGCTTCTGGAACCCCTTCTCATGGCTCCTCTGCTCTCCTGGCAGTGGTACAAGCTGGACGAGTTGTTTGAACAGGAGCGCAATGTACGCACAGCCATGACGAACCGGGCAGGACTACTGGCCCTCATGCTGCACCAAACGATCCAGCATGACCCACTCACTACAGACCTGCGCTCCAGTGCCGACCGCTGAGCCTCACTGGCCCAGATGTCCTCACACCCTGCATTCCAGGCAGGAGTGCCTGAATTCCCCATTTGACTGTTCTGCCATTCATCTGTTTCTCCAATGGTCCCTGAGTTTCTCCCTGTGCCCATCCACCATTTGCCCATCTGCCCTTTCCAGAGGGTCTCAGAATTTCCTCCCGTTTTTGTCTATTCTCTGTCTCTCCATTCTCTCTGCCTGGGTGAGACTGTGGAGTCTGCTCACCCTTGCCTCCCCCATCCTCTGGTTTTGTTAATAAAATTTTGAAGAAGCAAGAAAGATTACTACTGATGGTCTCCACAGTTTATTCAGTTGTAACTACATTCCCAAACCCCTAAGGTAGATGGGCCATGGCACACCTGTACTCAGGAGGGCTGCAGCATATGTGCAGGGCTGCAGGTGTACAGTTGGCACCCACTCTGTGCTCTGCAGACTGCCCCTTGGGCTGTGGGATATGACCTGCTGAGAGAGAGCCTAGTGACCTACATTCTCTGCCTCTCATTTTGAGACAGTGGGTGCACAGCACTCAGTGTGTGGCTGATTTACCACTCCTGTGTCAGCGTTAATATTCTCCAGACCAGAGGTGTACTCAATGACGGACACGAGGCCCCCTCTTTCCCTACAAACCCCTTTTCGGAAATGTATACAGCAGGAGCCCACCCCGCCCTCTCGTCGGGTCCAGTCGGCCCCACAGCGCGGCCTTTCCGGGATGGACCCGCCCTCGTCGGTTGCGCGGACCTGGCCTGTTTACCTGCGGCGCGGCATCGCCGCCTCCCGGGTTCCCGCGGAGGAGCGGGGCCAGCGCGCGGCGGGACTCGTCTCCGCGCTCCTGCGACTGTGCAGCGGGGAGGAGAGCGGGACACAATAGGCCTGGGGGGATGTTCCGAAGGACTGGAGAGCACAGGCTCGACCCAGGCAGGAGGTGGGAGAGGAGGGCTCCGACACAGTCCCAGCCTTCGGAGCACCCCCAACCTTCGGAGTCCCTCCCTCCCGGTTACTCCTTGCGGAGGTGGTCTAGGAAACCTGGAGCGCAGAGCCAACCCGAACCCTCCACGCCCCCTTAGGGCGGGACTGGAGAGCGCAGGCGCAAATGAGGAGGGCGGGGTGGGGAGAAAGCGCTGGTTGGCGACGCGAAGAGCGCAGGTGCTCCGATAGGGGCGCAGGCAGCAGTTGGACGTCAGCACGCAAGCGTAGCAGGTCCTTGGCAAGGGGCGCGCGCCGCTCTAGGACTCAGTACGCAGGCGCGGGGGTCCTCCCTACTAAGGGCAAGTGCCAGCGGGGCATTAGCGCGCAGGCGTCTCGCCGGGGGCGGAGCCCAAGAGGCAGGCAGTGTATTTCCGGTTCCGGGAGCAACGAACGGCCGCGGCGGCGACAGCTACCGCTTGAGAGGAAGAGGCTGCAGAGGAGGAAGAAGAAGAGCAGGGCAAGGCGGGAGTTACAGGCGGGACCGTTGTCATGGGTCTGCGGACCTAGAGCGGCGGGAGCTACTGGCCCAGTGCCGAACTGGTGAGACAGTCGTGGGGGTGGAAGTGGAGAGCGCTCAGGCGGAGGATAGGGAAGAATTGAGGCTCAGAACGCTGACGGAGAGGAATGAAGGGCCCTCAGGCCGATGAGTGGGAGGAATGGCGGCGTCGGAATATTGAAGGGGAGGAATGGGGAGATTTAGGCGGGGTACAGGGAGGAATGGGGCTCAGAACGCTGACAGTTGGAAGTGTCGGGATCCTAGACGAGGACGGAGAGGAATGGGGGAGGATTCAAACGCTGAGGGGACACATCGGGGCCTTTCAGGTAAAAGAGAGAGAAGTGGGAGTTCAGAGCGCCGAGGGGGAGAAATGAGGCGCCCTCATGCAGATGAAGGAGAGAAAGGGGGGCGTGGGATGCTGAAGAAGGAGGAAAGAGGGACGTATATGGAAGACGAGGACAGATAAGTCAGAACGCTGACAGTTAGGAATGGCATGATCCCGGGACAGGAACAGGGAGGGAGTTCAGAATGCTGAGAGGAGAAATCAGGGTCTCTCAGGCTGATGAGAGGAATGCAGGGTGAGGACGCTGAAGGGAAGGAGTGAGGGAAGTGTTCAGCTGCAGAGAAGAGGAATAGGGAGGTTTGGGGGCTGAGATTGGGGAGTAATGTGGCTCAGAACAGTGACAGAAAGGGAAACTAAGTGGGGGAGGCTTTTAGGCTGAGGGACAGAAGGAATGAGGGACTGTTCAGGTCAAGGATACGGAGGAGTTAGGGGCTCTCTGGCAGAGGACACAGAGGAAATCAAGGCAGTGACACTGAGGTAGCAGGATAAGAGGACATCAGACAGGGAAGGAATGGGAGGGTTAAAAGACTGAAAGAGAGAAACTGGGGACTCCTGGGTCAAGGAAGGGAGTGAATAGGAGGTCAGAACACTGAGGCAGGGTACTAGGATCTCGGTCTGGGGACAAGCGGAATGAGGGCCTCTTGAGCTGAGGATGGGGAGTATGGAGGTTTTGGGGTGACAAAGGGGAGGAATGGGGCCAGGAGGTCAAAGACAGAGTGTCTCCTGGGCCAAGGATAGGGAGAAATGCGGGGGAAGGATGAAAGTTTCCTAGGTTGGCAGTGGGGAAAAATGATGGGCTCTCAGGCTGAGGATGGAGAATAGGGCGTCAGGACGCTGTGAGGAATGAGAACCCCTGAGTTGAGGATGGGGCTACTGTGTCAAGAAGTGGGAGGAGTGACAAGCTCCTGGGCCCAGGACAGGGGAGAATGGGGGTTTTCTGTTGCTTATATTGGCCAGTTGCCTGTGGCAGGTCCCAGGTCTTGCACAAGCATTAATAGATATCAGTGGGTTTGTGTGGCCTGGGGCACAGCATTTCTTCTCCTAGAGCCTCAGTTTCTCCCATTGACCCCTCCACATTGCAGGCTGCTGCTGCTTCCTGTGGCCCCAATGGCTGAGGACTGGCTGGACTGCCCAGCCCTGGGCCCTGGCTGGAAGCGCCGTGAGGTCTTTCGCAAGTCAGGTGCCACCTGCGGACGCTCAGACACCTATTACCAGAGGTACTGGGTGGGTTGTGGACAGAGTCAGGAGTAGGGCTGAGCTTTGTTAGGCATGGTGAAATCAAGGGGTGTGGTTCAATTTATGGGTGGGGTTAAAATTATGTATATACAATCACTCTTCATTATTTGCAAATTCCATATTTACAAATTCGTCTACTCATTAAAATTTATTTGTACCCCAAAATCAATACTCACTGTGCTTTCATGGTCAGTCATAGATGTGCACAGAGCAGCAAAAAAAATTTGTCGCCTGACGCATGCATTCCCAGCTGTGGTTGAACGAGGCCTTCTTATTTCAGTTCTTGTACCATAAATTGTTCTTTTTGCGGTCTATACTAAGTGCCATGTTTTTCACTTTTTGGTACTCTTTATTGGTGATTTTGCTGTTTACGGTGGCTGTTTACAGTTTATGGTGTTTAAATGTAGTTCTGAAGGGCTGTCTAGGTTCTAAGTGCGAAACGTTTGTGATGTGCTGTAGGGAGAAAAATACACGTAAAATATGCTTCATTCACGTGTGAGTTGCAGTGCTGTTGGCTGGGAGTTCAATGTTAATGAATCAAAAACACTGTATATCTAGAAAAAGAAGAGGAAATATGCCAATTTGTACATGAGGCTGCTCCAGAAAGTGCTGAAGTAACATCTATAGTATGTGGTGAAGCTAAGGAAAAGGTAAAAAGTGTCCAGATTTTTGTGGATCCACGAGATGACCAATAAAATAAAGTATAGTGGATGGTGTTGTGAGGCTGAAAGCCAAGGACGTTGATAGTTGTGTTACCCAGGGTTAGGAAAATGTTACACCTATCCCAGGTAGTGCTTGCTGGTTTACACATTTCAAAAGGTGATACATTGTGAAAAATGTTAAATTTGCATGCAAGGCAGGTTCTGCAGATGAAGATTCTGTGGAAGAATTTTTTAAAATAGCTGTTATTTTTTATTCCACAAAAGGGTTATGTTGAAGAGTAGGTTTGCATTGCTGATAAGACTGGCTTCTTTTACAAGGTGTCAACGCAAATAATCAATATTCATTCTATAATAATGTAAAAAGAAAGTTTTATTCAAGACAAAACGGAGGATTATAGCCCGGGAATCATAGCCTTCGCATGTGAAGAAAGTGCTCCAGAGAAGAGCGATTTTTCAGCACAGTTATATACCATTTCAAAACAAAGATACATGCATGAAGCATGACAGGGGCACATTCCTTCAGTGGTTCAAGGAGATGTTTGTTACAGATTAGCACATACACAGCAGGTCAACATGACTGGTGTCATGGGAAGGGAGACTTATCTTCAAAGAGTACTGACGTCATAAGAAGGGAGGCATTTATTCATTATCTTCAAAGAGTACATTCTTTAGGGTAATAATTAAAGCAGATGTACAATGTACATTTCACAGGCTGTAAGTCGGGCTTCTCTGGTTCAAATAAAATTCAGGCCCACTCAAGTCTAAACCAGGATGGCTTCCCCATATACTTGGATATATAAAATTTCTCATATCAAAGGATGTTGGCAAAGGAGCCTGTATAACACAGATAGCCTCCAAAGCTCCTGGCTTTAAGTCATCCAGAGGCCATGCAGTTAATTATTTGTAAGATGGATATATTAAGTAAGGTGTCTTTAAACAGAAACATACATAAAACAAGGTTACGTATTGATCGATTGACAAAAATGTTGTGACCAGAGGCTTGCAGGAACCTAACCTGTAGTTCCGCTAGGAGGACTTGTTCTGTATTCACTAATTTAGCATTCAAGGTGACTTTATAGAACATAAACATAACATACTGTGAATAATGAGAATTGACTATAAATACTAAACATACATGTTTATAAACAATTTACATTTAAGGATTTAAGGTGTTTCAGGATATGTTGTAAGGTATGTCAGGATATTAAGATTTTTACACTCTTTTTGAACTTTTTTTGTATCTGAGTTGCTGTTTTCCTGGAGGAATATAGTAAAATTATAAATATAGTTTCATTTGTTTATATTGTTATACTTTTATTTTTGTATTTAGAAGTTGGAAAAAACATTCAAAGTTTATAAGTGCAATTATCAAGAACTATAAAGGATCAGAGATTTTATCCTGATTAGAGCAAGGTAACAGGTGGATATGTCACAGTCTTGTGGATGTTGGTAGGAGATATGAGACTCCTAGGTCAGAGATGAAAGACAGTTTATTACTCACAGCAATAGCAATATCCAGAATATCATTTTTGTGCCAGATCCCCTAACACCGGTTCCCAGACAATAACATAAAGAGAGCTAATAGCACCTACTCATGCCCTGGATTGTGTTGTAGGAAAGGAACCCTGAGCTTAGGGACTCTCATTTTTTTATAATGTTAGGACAGCAAGGATGCCTTCCCTTTGCTCTGGAAGGAGACCCTATCTCTTATCTTCCAAGGCTATACAAACATCCTTGAAAAGATAGTTCATAACAAAGGGCAGTCAGTGCTTCTCTTGCAAGACATGCAGAAATGCAAGAGACCTGTGGAGTATCATTTCCCAAAACTGGTTCTTTATACTTTATTTTATATGTAGTTGCATTTACTTATTTACAAATATACTTATTTGTGTATATACGTTTATTTATATGTATATTTTTAAATATTTGTTTCTTATGTAAGTTTCTTTGTATATTTAGTATGTGATCCTAGTACATTTACATGCTATTTAATATATTTGTGTTCCTATTTGTGTTTATTTTCATCTCTGTAGAATACTACTAGTAGCATATGTTATAAATATTTCATATTCATTTGCATTTATATTATTTCTTAATGTTTGTATACACACTGGTGTTTATAAACCTTGTATGTTACTGCTATTCAAGGTTATTTGTGGTAAGGCCTGGTCAGGGCTTCCAGGCCTATCTCAGGCTGCCTCCTGTATCCCACCAGCCCTGCAGGCCTCTTTACCAGCCCAGTGGGAGGGTTATGTGGGTGGAGTGGCAATAGCTCCACCTGGGGATCTACTCATCCTGGCCCACCCCCAGCCCCACAGGAGACAGGATCCGAAGCAAAGTAGAGCTGACCCGATACCTAGGCCCTGCGTGTGACCTGACCCTCTTCGACTTCAAACAAGGCGTCCTGTGCTATCCAGCCCCCAAGGTACTACACAGTTTGGGGTATCCAGGCTGGAGTTGTTGAGCCACCTACTGCTCACCCCCACTGACCTACATTCTTCCTGCCCTTGCTCTCATCTCTAGGCCCATTCCTTGGCTGCCCCCAGCAGGAAGCAGAAGAAGCCTTCAAGGCCAGCCAAGGCTCAGAAACGTCTGGTTGGACCTCAGAGGAATGAGGTCAGGAAGGAGGCCCCAGGGGATGAGACGAAGGCTGACACTGATACAGCCCCATCTTCGCTCCCTGCACCTGGGTGAGTGTTGGCCTAAAGTGAGCCAAGTGGGTGAAGGTTGTGGTTGGGGGTGCACTCAGGGCCCCACATCCATGTTTCCCATCCCAGGTGCTGTGAGAATTGTGGAATCAGTTTCTCAGGGGATGGTATCCGAAGGCAGCGGCTCAAGACATTGTGCAAGGACTGCCGAGGTGAGTGCCCCTAGGGAACTGGGAGATAGGAGTTAGAGCAAACCTGGTGTCAGGCTTGAGGTTGAATGGTGGTTATCAAGGTAGAGGCAGTGGTTGAGGTCGGATATCTGATGCTCCCTTTCCACTTCTCTTTTTCCCTCTCCCTCCCTGCAGCGCAGAGAATTGCCTTCAACCGGGAGCAGAGGATGTTTAAGGTAAGTATGACCTGCCTCCTCCTCACAAGTGTACTGTGGGAGCAGGATGTTATGGAGGTTGGTGGAGGGTTTGAAGGAATGGTGACGGATCCACAGGATGTCAAAGTCATTTTGTAGGGAGCTGCCATGGTCAGCAGATAGTAATGGGAATTACCGGGGTGTCAGTAGACACAGTGATGTGGTTAACAGGGAACCAGTAGAAATTGTGATGTCCTCAATGATGGTGGCTAATCAGTAATTATCAGATACAGTGATGAGGCAAATAGGGGACTAGTAGATATGGTGATGAGGGCTAATGTGAGGTCAGCAGACACATGAGGGGCAGTGCTCCTAGAGCCACTCTGTCTGGGCCTGTGACCTTGCCCCACCCATTCCTGGCAGCGAGTGGGCTGCGGGGAGTGTGCAGCCTGTCGGGTAACGGAGGACTGCGGGGCCTGCTCCACCTGCCTTCTGCAGCTGCCCCAAGACGTGGCCTCAGGGCTATTCTGCAAGTGTGAGCGGAGACGGTGCCTCCGAATTGTGGAAAGGGTGAGTCGGGCAGGTGGGGTGTGCCCAAGGCTCACCCCAGCCCCTGGCCCTCAAAGCCCTGGCTCTATGCATCACACCTCCGGCCCCCCCACAGAGCCGAGGGTGTGGAGTGTGCCGGGGCTGTCAAACCCGAGAGGACTGTGGCCGCTGCCGAGTCTGCCTTCGCCCTCCCCGCCCTGGTCTCAGGCGCCAGTGGAGGTGCGTCCAGCGGCGCTGCCTACGGGTGAGTCAGGCTGGAGGGGCCAGGGCTGGGGCAGAGCTCATTTTACTATTAAAGTTGCTGCTGCTGCTGCTTCCTCCCAACCTGGTCTTGCCCACCTCATGTCTTCCTTTCTTTCCCACCCCACGCTCACCTCCCTGGCCCCATCTACCTGTCCCTGTCTGCCAGCACCTTGCCCACCGCCTCCGTCGCCACCATCAGCGATGTCAACGACGCCCTCCCCTAGCTGTGGCTCCCCCTGCTGTGAGTGCTCCACCCCCACACTCTGCCTACCTGTCCAATGCATGCTTTCCGCACGGGGCGGGGTCCTGTTTCTACCTGGTGCCACAAGCGTAAACTACCCTTTTGGCTTTCTCCCAGGGTAAACATGGCCGCCGCAGGGGAGGCTGCGACTCCAAGATGGCTGCCCAGCGGCGGCGCCCTCGAACCCAGCCGCTGCCTCCACCTCCCCCATCTCAGCCTCCAGAATCCCCAGAGCTGGTGAGGCCCTAGTGGGCAGGGGGAAGGCACAACCCTAACTTCACCCAGTACCTGCCCTGACCCCACCCCATTTGCCTCTGCAGCACCCCAGAGCCCTGGCCCCCTCGCCACCTGCTGAGTTCATCTATTACTGTGTAGACGAGGACGAGCTAGTGAGTGGCCCCACCCTACCTGGATAAGCCTAGACTTTCCCAGGACACTTGGTTAATTCTAAAGAAGCAGATCTTGCAATGGGCCTAATAGGGGAACAGCAAGGCACAGTAATGGGTATTAGTATGGGATGAGCAGACAATGGGCGAGCAACTAATGTAGGATCACCAGGTGCAGTGATAGTACCTAATGTCGGATGAACCAACACTCTAGTGGGGTGAATAGAGAGAAAACTGCTCACAGACATAGTAGGCACAGTGATGGGAGCTAAGAGAGAGTCAGCAAAATCCTGCTGGAGGTGACCGTCAAAGACATTATCTTGGTAGCTAGTGGGGGACTAGCAGATAGAGTGATGGATAACTTTGTTAGAGCAGTCACAATCCTAATGGTATCAAGGGCCATCCGGTACAGTGTTAGTGCCTGACACTGGACTAGCAGACACTGAGGTGTGACGAGTGAGGAGTCAGATTAAGACTGTTGTGCAACCAACGCCCTCTGATGGGGCTAGTGGAGGAGCAACAGGAACAGCACTGTAATAGTCCTAGTGACAGTACCCCTTGTTCTTCCTGTCCCCCAGCAGCCTTACACGAATCGCCGACAGAACCGCAAGTGTGGGGCCTGTGCAGCCTGCCTTCGGCGGATGGACTGTGGCCACTGCGACTTCTGCTGTGACAAGCCCAAATTTGGGGGCAGCAACCAGAAGCGCCAGAAGTGTCGTTGGCGCCAATGCCTGCAGTTTGCCATGGTGTGTGGGGCAGGAAGGGTCAAGTAGGCAGGATAAGTTGGGTGAGGGCCCCCAGTACCTGGGCGTGGTGGGCAGGCCTGGTACGTGGGTTGACCAGGTCAGATGGGTCCTGCAAGTTCAGAGGGGTAGGCAAGCAATGTATTTGGCCAAGGATTAGCAGACTGTGCTAGGGTAAATGAGGAATCTGGGCGGCACTGGCATTGCTAATAGATTAGCAGGCTCAGTGATGAGGGGCTCATATGTAAGCAGATTCTGTGCTGGGACTGTTGGGGCATTAACAGGCTTGTTGATCAGGGTGGGTTAGTGTGTTCAGTCATTGCACCACATGACTATAACACTCCATCTTTCCTCCCAGAAGCGGCTGCTGCCAAGTGTCCGGGCAGGGTCCGAGGATGGAGCAGGGTCGCCCCCACCTTACACTCGTCGAAAGAGGCCTGGCTCTACTCGACGGCCCCGTCCGAAGCCCCCCTCAGCCACACCCACAGCCCGACCAGACCGTGCCCAGGTTCCAATGAAGCAGGAAGCAGGCAGTGGCTTTGTACTGCCCCCACCTGGCACCGACCTTGTGTTCTTACGGGAGGGTGCGAGCAGTCCCGTGCAGGTGCCTGGCCCTGCCCCAGCTTCCACAGAAGCCTTGTTGCAGGTGAGGGCCCTACCTTATCCTGCCCTTCCCAACCCCACCCAGCCTCGTGTCAGGAAGCTGGGACCAAGTCTGCTGCAATCCTCCTTCATACAGGAGGCCCAGTGCCCTGGCCTGAGTTGGGTTGTGGCCTTACCCCAGGTGAAGCAAGAGAAGGCGGATGCCCAAGAAGACTGGACACCGGGCACAGCCATCCTGACTTCTCCTGTATTGCTGCCTGGCTGCCCCAGCAAGGTGGGGGTCAGTGATGGGTGGTCATGACAGTGGTTCTTTGAGCAGAGCAGTAGGTGTGCTGATTGCAACCTCTTCACAGAATTACCCTGCCTGTCTGACAGATGCCCTATCTTCCCCAGGCAACTAGCTTTGCTTGCTTTGCTGCTCAGCTAATAGAAAAATGGATATCTGTGAGGAACGAGAAAAGTTTGTAGGCAGAGAGCTGGTTTTTCTGTGCCTGAAGTGTGACAGCAGTGGGATTTGTCAGCACAGTGCCAGACTGGCTGATAGAGACTCTTTCCTCAGGCCCACCCTGTCCTTCTGACTGCTGCCCGTTTCCCACCTCTCCCAGGCAGTAGACCCAGGCCTGCCACCTGTGAAGCAAGAGCCACCTGACCCTGAGGAGGACAAGGGGAAGGAGAGCAAAGATGACTCCACCTCTCACTCCGCCCCAGAGGAGGCAGGAGGGGCTGGCACACCTGTGGTCAGTGCTGGGGGACACCTCACCCTGCCCTGACCCTGCTTTAGCCCCACCAGCCATGTTGACCGATGATATTAATTCTTTCCCAGATCACGGAGATTTTCAGCCTGGGTGGAACCCGCCTCCGGGACACAGCAGTCTGGTTGCCAAGGTGTGCCCCGCACAGTGAGAGGTGGGGATGGGGTGGGTGCCGGTCAGATGTGGGCCCTGAGTTTTGAAAGTACAGCCAGCAATTTGGCATAGTGCAGTGGGAAGTAAAGTCCCCACACCACTGCACTGCACTGATCATGAGTAGTGAGGGGGTATGTGCAGGACCCTAGAGATTCCTCCTGAGGTCCAGGTCAGGGCTCTCCTTGAGGATGTGGTTGGGCAGAAGACTTGGTGCCCTGTGGTGAGATTTGAAAGAAAAAGAAAGATAGGGAAAGTCTGGTCCTCATCTCCCTAAGTAAATCCAGCAGGGGTCAGACTTAGTATATAAATTTTTATTCAGAGAATCATCATTTGGGGTCTTGAAGGCCTTTGGAGTCTCTAAGAGATGACCAGGTGGGCTGGGCAGTGGTAGATGGGCAGGAGATCTGAGTCCTGAGATGTGGGTCTGTGATCTGGTTCCACACGTGACTGTGGGCTAGTCCTGCACCTCCCTGGAGTATCCTCTGTGGAGAGGTTAGGCTGTGTTTCTTGAGCCTTTCCTGAGCCTGTTGAGGTTATTAACAGTTTCAGCTGCTGCACAGAACTGTCCCTGCAGGCCTGGCAATAGGACAAAGGCTAGGTGCCTATAAGGACTAGGATGATGGGAGGAAGACGGGGAATGCTCCTTCCTGCAGAATGTTGACAGGCCCCGCACAAAGCTACAGGCACAGGCAACATAAACTATTGGCCTAAGCACATGGATTCTTTTGTTCCTGCACATAGTTTCTGCAAGCCAGAAACTCCTCCGTCTGCATGTGGGCAGTTACAGAGGTACTGACTGAGTCTCTGCTGGGTACCCTGCAGTGTGGGAGATACAGTGGTGAATACAATGACCCTAGAAGGCTTATCCTTCAGGACACACAGGATTCCTGCCTTCAGGGAGCTTATACTCTAACTGGGGAAACAATTTCCCTACGCATGAAATCATTACATATGAACAGAGGAGGTAATGATGTGCTACATTGTTTGTAATGGAAGATTTGAGAAGAGAGAAGAGAGAGAAGGGATAATTAAGGGGAAATAGATGGTGGACACAGAATAGTAGGCAACGGTTTTGTGATGCTCCATTTGGCGCATAGTGAACTTCATTCAACATACAGACCTGCTCCCTCTTCTCTAGGTCCAAGGACCTTAAAAAACCTGGAGCTAGAAAGCAGTAGACTGGAGGCTTCTGCAGACTGTAGGATTCAAGGTGATATTTACAGACCGACTTTGTGAGAGACAACACTGATCTACTCAGAGGCTGGACCATAGATCGGGGGGCTTTTTGTAGGAGTCAGTAGGAACTGGACAAACCTACCGCCGAACCAGAGGAGCAGGCCTGTTCAGTACTTTGAGCTTATAGAGGAAGTAGGCAGAAACGGAAGAGAGAGCAGACAGTTGGTGCATCTGCTCCAACTGGTGCAAATCCCAGGAGGCTGAGTGTGAGAGGAAGTGTGGATATTAAGGATGGGGGAGCTGGGGTGGAGGAGGGGATGTAAGTAAAGCCACTACAAAACAGCCTAAACGAGCCACCTTCAAAAATGATTTGAAATGGCTTCTGGGTGAGACCTGGCAGTGTCTCTAAACATTTTCTCAGGGAGACAGCAATTGAAGATGTAATGTTAATAAATGAGGACAGGAGTTCCTCCTATGGACCTAATGTATTTAATCCTGAAAACAGTCTTTTTAGGAAGACATTGGTTTTGCCTCTTTTTGCAGATGGGAAAACTCAGATTCAAAGAAATTAAATAACTTGTCCAGTGTCAAACAGCTAGTACTGATAGAGCCTAGAATCAAACCCAGGTTGTAAAAGCCATGTTCTTCAATCCACTAAACTGTAAATTGTAATCCTATGTTCAATAACATGTAATAATAATATAGTAACAAGTTTCCAGTGACCTTGAGAACAAGGTGGATTACTCTAAGCATTTTTTGTGGGGGGAGGTGGGGGGCAAGATTAGCCGTGAGCTAACATATGCTGTCAGTCCTCCTCTTTTTGCTGAGGAGGGTTGGCCCTGAGCTAGCATCTGTGCCCGTCTTCCTCTACTTTATATGTGGGATGCCTGCTACAGCATGGCTTGACAAACGGTGTGCAGGTCCACGCCTGGGATCTGAACTGGCGAACCCCACATCGCCGAAGCAGAGTATGCGAACTTAACCGCTACATCACCAGACTGGCCCCTAGGCAATTTTAACAAATCCCTTACACTGCTGCCTCTAGTGAGGTTTAGGGAATGCCATCGCTGTATGGATGGGGTCACCTTGTCAGAGCATTCGTGCATCCAGAGACTGGGTTCTTCCCATGCCTTGTGTGCTGTGTAGGATTCCTCAAACCCTAAAGGGCATCCTTCCTCACTGGCTGCTGTCCATCTTGTTTGTTGCCTTCACTACCCCTCTTCAGCCGAAACAGCCTTCAGAAGTAAAGCTGCCAGTCTGGCTCATCTTTGCTGTGACAACGTGCATCCCCTGCCCCTTGATAACCTTTGTGCTTGGTTTCTTCTCTCAGCCCTTCTACTGGGAGTCTGAGTCCTGCTTCAAGTCTTGCCTAAGGGCCAGTCTTGGCTCAGCCCCTGCCTCCCTTTCCAATTTTTCCATAGAGTGCCAAAAAGATTAGACTTGTGATTCTTAGCCAGCTTTACAGGGCCAGGACTGAGTGCTTGCCTCCTTCAGTTTTGTAGCCTCTGTGCCTCCTAGTCCTGCAGCTTTAGATAATTCAGATGTAGATTAGCCATTTCCCTGCTGTAACTCATGATATAGCCCTCTGCACCTTCCTTTGCCTCACTCCACCTACTTCAGCCAGAGTCAACTCTGGATAATTTTCTGATATTGTTTTGCTCCCCTCAGGATCCAACCACCCAACCCTAGTATTCTGGTAATTCTGAAAGTGATATCCTAAGTGAAATTTATTTGATTGGCATTCTGACTCATGAGATAAGAGTCTGGTTACCATGTTTATCAGGGTTCAGTCAGAAAAGCAGCACCACTAATAGAAAGATTTTATATATATATATATATACACACACACACACACATATATAAGGGATTTATTATAGGGATTTGACCGTAGGCAATTGTGGGAGCTGGTTAAACAGGCTCAGTAAGGCTGTTATCTTTGCATCTAATGCTGGAGCTTGAAGTCTGCAGGGCAGGCATTCGGGAAGGGAAGATGGATATAAAGTGTGGGAGACCGAGGACACATTGGCGCTCACGAGCAGGAGCTGGAACCCACGAGGATGGCCTGGAACCCATGTCAGTCTCTCACCACCTCCAGCTTCGATGATGTGGGTGTCCTGCAGAAGAAGCTGGTGCCCTTCATCACAGAGTTAAATATGCATCTGACCCAGGAATTAGAGAAGCTGAAGGAAGATTCCGGGGAAGGTGGAGCAGCTGCAGGCCTGGCTGCAGGCCTGCCTGCTGCCCCACACCAACGAGGTGAGCCAGCAGATACATGACAACATGTGTGAACTGCAACAGTGCCTGGTGCCCCTGCACCAACCTTCCAAGTGTAAAAACAATATGCTGCTGCTTCACTTCTGCCCTCCAGTTATCACGCAAATGTCTCTGGTGGCCCATCCTAACTGGAAGCATACGGGGAAGGGAGTTCTGGGAGACGTAGCCTAGTCAAGGTGATACATTACAAAGCCACCCTGCCATGAATCAGCTCCCAAGGGTCTCACTACTCACCTGAGGATAACTTGATAAAGCTACGTTGCTGAAAATGCAAAGCTGAAGACCATGGATTTCATGGTGACCCCAGCAAGTACAGAAATTCTGTCAAGCCCACCCAGAAAAAACTTGCTGGTCTCGGCTATTTTTGTGTGGTTCATTCAAGTATTGAGAACCTGGCCCATGGTAGGCACTGTACTTAATACTGGGATACAGGAATGAGAAAGATATAGCCCATACAATTTTATTAAATGCATCAATATGTATTACAAATGGTGAATGGAGTTCCAACTTTATCATGGAATTTAATGGTGAAAATATAGAATTCAGGAAACTATCAGGAGGACAGCCTTTGCGTGAACCTTGTTGGGGCACAATAGGAATTGGAAGTAATGTGGTTTCTATCCCTAAGCTGTTGTATTTTTAAATTATTTTTAAATGATTTTTATTGTCCCGTTTGCTGATTCATATACTTAGTTGTTTCTTTTGGGAGTGTCTTGATGGTGGTAACAGTGTTGACTGCCACTGAGAAAGTGGGATAGTGGGTAGCAAGATCAAGGTCAGGTTCTGTCCAAGGACCTTGGGCGAATCTCTTCTCTAGGCCGCCGAAGGGATTTGGCTAAAGGCCAGGGCTTACCGCACCGGGGGGCCGGGCCGGCCCCTCCGACCTCCGAATAGGCTCGCCAGGGGGCGCCGGGGCCGCGGTCCTCCCACTGGGGTCTGGAGACAGCTGTCCCCCAGCCCTGGCCTGGGCGGCCCTGGGGCGTGGCCTCTGCTCGCCGTTTCCCTGGGCCATCCCAGAGGGAAGCCGACTCCCCTTCAAATAGTGGTAAAGCCGGCAAAACCCAATCGGAGTTAAATTATCGGGCTCGCCCAGGGTGAGGGCGCGGCGCGACGAGCTCGGGACCAACGCTAGGACGTTCGAGGGCAGCCGGGTGTGGCCTAGGGTCGGCTTCCCCCGCGCCGAAAACTTCGACGGGACTCTCCAGGCTGTACGACCTCGGGGGGTGCCCGACCGGCGTCCCTGAATCTCGGCGGCTTCGCCCAAACCCCGCGGCTGGCGTAGGGCGTTTTCATTGTCTCCCATCTTCCCCAAGGGTGTGGTGTGAGGGGTGGTTCTTTCCAGACCAGCCGTCAGGCCAGGCCCCCGTGGGACCCAAAGATCAAGGAACTGGCCCTCAAGACTCCGTCCAGGGAACCGAGCTGACCGTCTAATTTCTGTCTTTTTTGTTTGTTTCAGGCTACGTAAACTCTTAGCAGTAAATGAAAATGAGTATTTTACCGAACTGCAATTGAAAGAAGAAGCATTATAGGAGAAAAAAGACAAAATGATAATTATTAAAAGATTATTGAAAGAGAAGAGAGACATTATTTTGTGGCTGAAAAGCTGAACCAGCAATTCAGGAAGTGGAATCCAAATCTAGAAACGTACCACATACAAAATCTGAAGTGGGTGGATCACAAATGATTAAGGAATGCTAATTTACAGTAAATTGCGGCCTTAAGATGGTATACACAGTAGTTGTACTTCGGTTATTACTACATGTCAGTGACGGACTGGTACTGGTTTTTTTCTGTGCTCTAGTGTTCTATGCTTGCCCCCACTTGAGAAGCAGAGTACCAAAGTGTCATTCACAATTGGCTTTTAGGTATTAACTACCACCTTGCTCTTAACTGGGAGTACAGCTATGGTCTCCACCTGTGCTGAGGGCCTGTTCCCCTGCCTGGGATCTGGATTCTCAGGGCCTGATTACCTACACTTCTCATCCATGTCCTCACCCTGGTCCACTGTGACCCTTGGCTCAGACTCTTGGTCTTTATTTTACCCAGCCAGGTTGTGTCAGTGCCCTACTGGACCATCTGATCAGCCACCCATCCCAGGGTACCCTGAGTCTAAGCCCTGGTTTGTGTCCAGTGCAGTAGGAAGATTAATAACAGTTGTCTCATTACTGGTTAGGTGGGCTGTCAAGGCAATTAGGATCTCTAAGCCTTAATTGTCTTAGCTGTAAAATGAGGATAATGCCTGCTGTTCCATCAATCCTATAAGATATTTGTGAGGCTCAAAGGTTTTATGTGTGAAAATACCTTGCAAATTATTGTAAAGAAGTACACAAATATAAGGTTGTCCTGTGATGATTATTACTGTCATCAAGATTAACCTAGAGATGGGCACAAAATTTAACCTTCCCACAAAATGTCCGCTAACGTTTCTCATGCTTTTAGACCGATTACAGGATATAAATAGCAAAGTCAGTTGGAGTATAATTAGATCTTCGCCTTCACTTCGGGTTAAGGAGGCCTTTTTCTGCTATTCTGATGAACCCTAGAGGAAGGGAGCAAGGTTGGCCGGAGGCCTGGCCGAGGGCGGGATGAAGACCACGCAGACTCAGCTCCTCCGCTGTAGGAGGAAGTCGCCAGTGCCGGCGTCTGGTCACCATGGTGATGGGACCAACTTCCGCCCCACCCACCTGCCCCTCACCCCGCGAAGCGCACCATGGCAACCAGATCTCTGCGTCGCGGAAGCTGGTTTCGCAGGTCGCCGCGGTGGGGAAACCTCGGCGGACACCGCCCCCATCCTGAGGGGACTCGAAAATGTACAGCCAGCGATTTGGCATCGTACAGCGCGAGGTTAAGGGCCCCACTCCTAAAGTGGTGATCGTGGTAAGCAAGGGATGTGTGTGCGAGACCCTACCGCTTTCTGCATCTCCCAGCACTCCAGGTCCAGCTGATCCCAACCTGGCCCCTAGCTGGGGCTCTCTCGAGGGGAGTGGTGCCTGACGCAGTGTGTTGAATTTTGAAAGAAGGAAGAATAAGGTCGTTCACCTGCTCTTATACTCCGTCCCTCCCCCAACCCCGCGTCAGTGATAATATCTAGTTCTCGATTTGGAGAATACCCCTTGGAATCTTAAGGATTTTCAGTAACCAAGACTGAAGGAGACCTCCAGAAGAAGGTCTGTCTCCTTGCGATGCGGAGTGTGTGTGTCATGGAAAGGGCGCTGTGCCAGGCAGCAGGAAATTGAGTCCCAACACAAGGAATGGCACTTGAGCAATCAGGGTCTGGGCTGGCGGTGGTTCAGCTGTATGATCTTGGGCTGTTCTGCACCTCTAGGAAAGTCATCTGTGGAAGGAAGATTGGGCTGTGAGGGGTTGTGAGCGGTTGTAGAGCTCTTCCTGTGCTGACAACCATACAGAAGTGTCCCTGCAGGCCTGGAAATAAAACAGTTAGTTGCCTCTAAGGTGGTGGTAGGAGGCCAGGAGAATGCTGCATGCTGCAGAATTTGATGGGTTTGGTCCATGCACCTGGATTCCTATGTTCCTACAAGCTAATTTCTAGAGGCTAGAAAACCTCTGTGTGTAATTAGGCAATTATAGAGGTATTACTTGAGCCCCTGCTGTGTGTGCATAGGGGTGAATACAAAGACGATGGGAGGTTTACCCTTCGTTAGAAGTCTGATCTCTGCCTTCAGGTTGCTTATCATCTAGTTGCAGAAACAACTTGCTCATGCGTAAAACCATTTAAGGTTAACATAGTAGATACTGATGTGCTATATTGTAGGTGATGGCACTTTATGGAAGAAAGATAGGGATAGTGAAGGATACAGTTTTATTATGCTCCACAGTGCACATGGCAGTTCTCAGTCAACTTATAGACCTGCTCCCTATTCTAGGTCCAAGGACTGTAGGGTCTGAGTCTGGAAATCAGTAGACTGGAGGCTTCTGCAGACTGTAGAGTTCAAGGTGGTAATTACAGAAAGATTTCATGAGGGATAGAAACCGATCTACTTTGGGTTTTGTATCTGAACACAGAGCTCAGGGTTTGGGCTATTGCTCAGATGCCATTGCTTGTACTGGGAACCAATAAGGAACAGGAAAAAAAATTTACCACCCATCCAGAGAAGCAGGCTTATTGAATAATACACTGAGCTTATAGAAGAATAAAGAGGAAAAGGAAAAAGTCAGAGTTGGTGCGTCTCAGATTTCAGAGTGTGGTAAGAAGTGTGGATATTAGAAGTTGCAGAGTTGTGGTGAGGGAAGAATTAAAGTCACCAGAGAGGAGACTTAAACAATTCCTCCAGGAGAAAGCAATAAAAGATGTAACGTCTGAAGTAATGGAGAAGTGAAAGGAGCAGCTATTTGGTAAGTGCGCCTAGGGACCCAATGACTTAATTCTCAAAATAGTTTTTTCAAAGGACATTTGCTTATTTTGACAGATGAGAAAACTTAGAGATGAAGTAACTTGCTCAAGATCACAGTAATGGGTAGAGGCTAGACTCAAATCTAGACTGTAAGACATTGTTCTTTAAGACTTTAAACTGTAATGCTAGCAACTATAATTTGAGATGTTCCAGTAACAGAAGCCTTCAGTGTCCTTGAAAATACAAAGTAGTTATTAAATCCTTTGTTCTCCTGACTTTAGCATGGTTTAGAGTTGCAGTGTGCAGTTTGGTAGCCTCTAGCCACACATGACTTTTGAGCGCTTGAAATGTGCTTAGAGTCACATGGTGAAATGACAGTATTTTGTATATATATTGGTTAAATAAAATATATTATTAAAATTAATTTCCCCTGTTTCTTTTTACTTTTTTAAATACAGCTAGTAGAAAATGTTAAATTACGGATCCATCTTACATTATATTTTTATTAAACAATGTGGGTTTTGGGTAATGCCAAGACTGTGCATAGATTGGCATCACTTTGTTGTTGGAGAACTCCAGGTCGTACCTTATTCATCCAGAGAGAGACTGGATCCTTCCTGAGGACAGAGTCCTGTGTAGGATACCCCAAGCCTTAAAAGGGCTTCCTGACCCCCTGGCTACTCCTCAAGCTGTTTCTCACCACCTTCCATCCCAATTCCCTTCTTTAGTCAAAATATACCTTAGAGCACGGTTCTGCCCTGACAACTCAAGACAATTGATTCTTGATGAGCTGGGCGCTTGGTTCCTGTTCTCAGCCCATATGTCTACCGGGAGCCTGAGTTCCTGTGTGTATCCTGACCAAGGTGTAGTCTTGACCCTGCTTTGCTTCATTATCACTGAACCTGCATCCATAAAATACCATACATATTAGAGAACAGTAGTTTGTTAGTTAACTGGCTCTAGGCTCTAACTAATTATGGTACAATAATCCCCCCCTTACCTGTGGTTTCACTTTCCACGGTTTCCATTACCTGTGGTCTGAAAATAATGCTATGTCACAATGCCTACCTCATTCACCTCATTTCATCTTATCATGTAGGCATTGTATCATATCATCACAAGAAGAATAGTGAATACAGTACAATGAGACTCGGGAGAGAGACCACATTCACATAACTTTTATTATAGTACATTGTTATAGTTGTATTTTGTTATTGGTTATTGTTGTTAATCTCTTACTGTGCCTAATTTATAAATTAAACTGTATCATAGGTATGTTCGTATAGGAAAAAACATAGTATGTATATAGGATTCAGTACTATCTGCAGTTGCAAGCATCCACTGGGGGTTTTGGAATGTATCCCCCACAGATAAAGGGGGACTACTGTATGGATTAGCTCCTTCCTGTGATATAACCCCCAACATCATCTCTCCAACCCATCTCAACCCTACCTTATCTTGTTCAACCATATCTAGGTACCCAAATGTGTACTGTGAACCCTGAATGTTTTCATCAGTCTATCTTCAAGTGTTGATTTTCTTTCCCCAAGAAACTCCTTTACCAAGCCCCAAACCTGGTATTCTGGTAATCCCGACAGTGATGTTCTAAGTGTAAATGATCAGATTGACTCTCTGCTACATGAGTTAAGCATTCTGTTGCTGTGAATCAGCACCCCAGAGTCTCAATATTCACCTAAGGATGACTTGATAAAACTGGCTGAAAATACAAAGCTCAAGAACATGGATTTCACGGTGGCCCCGGGAGGAGCAAAAATTGCATCAAGCCCACCCAGAAACATTGTTTCATTCATTCATTCTTTCACCCATATAGAGAACCCGATGGTGGTAGACATCATGCTCGATGCTAGGAATACAGAGATGAAAAAGATATAGTCCATGTGATTTTATTAAATGTATCAATATGTATTTAAGTGGTATATGCATTTCCATCTTTTTAGTGGAAGTTTGTGTAAAAAGAATGTACTTACAGAAATTCAAGTTATCCCGAAATGTCAGGAGCATAGCCCTTGCATTAAACTTCTGGGCACAACAGAAATAGGAATCAAGTTCTACCAGTTTTTCTTTCCTTTTTTTCTGTTCTTTCCCTTCTTTCCCTCCTTCCTCCCTCTCTCCCTTTCTTTCTTCCTTCTTAGTAAACGGTTTTTCATTGTCACAACTCATATATATCCTATATACTTAGATAGTAGCTTCCTTTAACTGAAAATATTTAGATCGTGGTAACTATGTTGTCTATCCCTGAGAAACAATGTGGCATAGTGGGTGGCAAGATCAAGGTCAGGAATTAGAAGAACTCTAGTTCTTGTACTATCTATATCTTCCCTTTTGGAGCACCTTGGGCAAATCACTTAATGTCCCTGGGTTTGATAGATAATCTCTAGAGTTCCATTCACATTTTTAACTTTATAATTCCATGAACTTTTACTCAAACGGCACTGGAGAAATATTTTAGACTGATTTGATAACATCTTAGGTATAGACTCAAAGAATCAAATAAGTTACACCTTAGGCATATAAACTGTAGTAGTAGCAGGATGTATTGGTATTATATACCCAATTCTATTTAGTATGAGTATGAGGAGGTCATGATTACTTGAAAATATGCAATTGATTTTGGGTCTGTCATAAGTGATAGTTGTTATTTGTTTTCAGAGAGCCAAGCCTCCCAAAGGCCAAGGGGCTGAGCAACGTCTGGAAAGACTCCAACGTACCCATCAGAAACATCATGCTTTTTTGGCTTCTATTAAGTCAAAGGAGCGGGATCGCTTGAAAGTTGAGTGGGAACAGCACAATGACCGCAAGTTTGTGGACAGTCTTGTGAAAGCAAGAATGAAGGATGCCATGCAAGGCTTTATCATCAACACAGAAGAAAGACGAAACAAGTAAGGCTCATAAACCTGGTGACTCAGACTGTGAAACATTCCTAAAACCACAACTTGAGACTGACCAATTAAAAACCAAGTGAATAGTAAGGATCATGGCTAGGATATTCATATTCCTACCAAGTCAGTAGCTATTGTTTATTTATATTTTCATTTGTGATAACCTACTACGTTTGATAGAAAGCAAAAGAATATATTGTTTCGTATTTTGTTGCTTTAACTAAAATATGTTCATTTTATTTCTTTTGTTGAAGATAGACATTACGTATCTCATCTGTATGTGATCAAATAAAATATGGCACAGATCCGTCTCTTTATTGCTTTAAATGGCAACTAGTCTTATTTTATGGAAGACTGCAATGATTTTTTCCTTTCTTACAAAATTTATGATTAAACGTACTTCTGAAATCAAAATTAACTAAATAAAAATCATTTAGTAAAATGGTGCGTGTGACATGACAGTTTTAATTTTTTTTCATTTTGTTTCAGGCTCCGTGAACTTTTAGCATCAGAAGAAAATGAGTATTTTACTGAAATGCAATTGAAAGAAGAAACAATGGAGGAGAAAAAAGATAAAATGAGGGATAAAACCAGATTATTAAAAGATAAGAAAGAAAAAGAGAGACAGGATTTTGTGGCTGAAAAGCTAGACCAGCAATTCAGGTAATGATGTCTGAAAAACACACACACACACACAATCTGAACTTGTTTGTATTAAAAATGATTTAGGAATGCTAATTTGCAGTAAAGTATAACCTTAAGAGGGTATGCACAGTAGTTATATCTTTGAGTCTTGATAATTATGTACACGTCATTGAATAATACAAGCACTGAGGGTTTTTTTGTTTATTTGTGGTGAGAACACTTAAGATCTACTCTCTTAGCAAATTTCCGGTATACAATACTGTATTTTCTGTAGTCACCATATTGTACCTTAGATCTCCAGAACTTATTTATTCATCTTATAACTGAAAGTTTGTATCCTTTGACCAACATCTTTCCATTTCCCTCACCCCTTAGCCCCTGGGAACCACCATCTACTCTCTATATGTTCAATTTTTTTTTTTTTCAGATTTCACATTTGAGTGAGATCGGACTGTATTTCTCTTTCTCTGCCTGGCTTATTTCATTTAATATAATGTACTCCAGGTTCATCCGTGTTGTCTCCAAGGTGGAATTTTCTTCTTTTTTGTGCTGAATATATTCCATTGTATATATATATAAGACATTTTTCTTTATTCATGCATGCATCAGTGGACATTTAGGTTGTTTCTGTATCTTGGCTATTGTGAATAATGCTGCAGTGAACATGGGAGTACAGATATTGAGATACTGGTTTCATTTCTTTTGGATATATACTCAGAAGTGGGATTGCTAGATCATATGGTAGTTCTATTTTTAATTTTTTGAGGCACTTCTAGACTGTTTTCCATAATGGCTGTACCAATTTGCATTCCCCCTAACAGCACACAAGGGTTTCCTTTCCTCTACATCTTTACCAAGTCTTGTTATTGCTTGTCTTTTTAATAATAGCCATCCTAACAGCTGTGAAGTGATATCTCATTGTGGTTTTGATTTGCACTTCCCTGGTGATTAGTGATGTTGAGCACTTTTTCATGTACTTGTTGGCCATTTTTACATCTTCTTTGGAAAAATGTCTATTGAGGTCCTCTGCCCATTTTTAATCAGATTATTTGGGTTTGTTGCTGTTGAGTTGTATGAGTTTCTTATATATTTTAGATATTAATCACTTAGAAGATATATGGTTTGAAAATATTCTCTCCTGTTCCATAGGTTGCCTGTTCATTTTGTTGTTTCCTTCCTGTTCAGAAACTTTTTAGTTTTCATATAGTCCCACTTGTTTACCTTTGCTTTTGTTGCCTTTGCTTTTGGTGTCACATCAAAAAAAACTTTGTCAAGACCAATGTCAAGGAGCTTTTTCCCTATGTTTTCTTCTATGAGTTTTACAGTTTCAGGTCTTATGTTTAAGTCTTTAATCCATTTCCAGTTAATTTTTTTGAATGGTCCATATAGGGGTCCAATTTCATTCTTTTGCATGCGGATATCCAGTTTTTCCCAGATGATTTATTGAAGAGACTATCCTTTGCCCATTGTGTGTTCTTAGCCTCCTTGTAAAAGACTAGTTGACCATATATGTGTGGGTTGCTTTCTGGGCCCTCTATTCTGTTCCATGGGTCTGTGTATGTGTTTTTCATGCCAGTACTGTAGTGTTTTGATTCCTATAGCTTTGTCATACAGTTTGACATCAAGTGGGTGATCCCTCCAGCTTTGTTCTTCTTTCTCAAGATTGCTTTGGCTATTCAGGGTCTTTTGTGGTTCCATACAAATTTTAGGATTTTTTTTTATTTCTGTGAAAAATGCCATTGGAATTTTGATAGAGCTTGCATTGAATATGCAGATCACTTTGGGTAATATGGACATTTTAACAATATTCATTCTTGCAACCCACGGACAAAGGATATCTTTCCATTTATTTGTGTCTTCAACTTCTTTCTTCAGTGTTTTATAGTTTTCAGCATATGGGTCTTTAACCTTGGTTAAATTTATTCCTGAGTATTTTGTTGTTTTTGGTGCTATTGCAAATGGGATTGTTTTCTTTATTTCTCTTTCAAATAGTTTGTTTTTAGTGTGTAGAAACCCAATTGATTTTTGTATGTTGGTTTCCTATCATGCAACTTTCCTGAATTTGTTGATTAGTTCTAACAGTTTTTTTGGTGGTCTTTAGGGTTTTCTAAAAATAAGTTCATGTCATCTGCAAACAGGCAATTTTACTTCTTCCTTTCTGTTTTGGATGCCTTTTATTTCTTTTACTTGCATAATTTCTCTGGCTAGGTATTACAGTACTATGTTGAATAAAAGTGGCAAGAGTGGGCACCCTTATCTTGTTCCTGATTTTAGAGGAAAAGCCTTCAAATTTCCACTGTTGAGCATGATGTTAGCTGTAGGCTTGTCATATATGACCTTTATTGTGTTGAGCTACATTCCTTCTATATCTAGTTTGTTGAGAGTTTATATCATGAAAATATGCTAAAGTTTGTCAGATGCTTTTTCTGCATCTATTGAGATGATCATATAATTTTTAATCCTTCGTTCTGTTAATGTGTATCATATTTATTGATTTGTATATATTAAGTCATCCTTGCATCCCAGGGATAAATCACATTTGATCATGGGGTATGATCCTTTTAATATACTGTTAAATTTGGTTTGCTAGTATTTTGTTGAGGATATTTGTGTCTATGTTCATCAGGGATATTTGCCTCTAATCTTATTTTCTTGTAGTGTCCTTGTCTGGCTTTGATAAAATGAGTTTGAAAGTCTTCTCTCCAGTTTTTGGGAAGCATTTGAGAAGGATTGGTATTAGTTGTTCTTTAAACGTTTGGTAGAATTCACTAGTGAAGACATCTGGTTCTGGGTTTTTCTTTCTTGGGAGATTTTGTATTATTGATTCAATCTCCTTATTCCTTATTGGTCTTTTAAGATTTTCTGTTTCTTCATGATTCAGTCTTGGTAGGTTGTATGTGTCTAGGAATTTATCCATTTCTTCTAGGTCATCTAATTTGTTAGTATATGATTGTTCATAGTTGTCTCTCATGATCATTTGCATTTCTGCAGTGTCAGTTGTAATGTCTCCCCTTTCATTTCTGATTTATTTGTCTTTTCTCTTTTTTCCTTAGTCCTGCTAAGGTTTTGTCAATTTTGTTTATCATTTTAAAAAAGCCAGGGGCCGGCCCCGTGGCCAAGTGGTTAGGTTCGTGCTCTGCTGCAGCGGCCCAGGGTTTCGCCGGTTCGGATCCTGGGCGTGGACATGGCACCGCTCATCAGGCCACATTGAGGTGGCATCCCACATGCCACAACTAGAAGGACCTGCAACTAGGACATACAACTATGTACCGACGGGGATTTGGGGAGATAAAGCAGAAAAAGAAAAAAAAAGATTGGCAACAGTTGTTAGCTCAGGTGCCAATCTTTAGAAAAAATTTAAAAAATAAAAATAAATAAATAAAAAAGCCAGCTCTTATTTTCATTGATCTGTTCTATCATTTCTAGTCTCTATTTCATTTATGTCTGCTCTGATCTTTGTTATTTCCTTCCTTCTGCTAACTTTGGCTTAGTTTGTTCTTTTCTAGTTCCCTGATGTGTAAAGTTCAGTTGTTTATTTGAGAGCTTTCTTTTTTCTTAATAGAGGTGTTAATCATTATAATCTTTCCTCTTAAAACTGGTTTTGCTGCATCTCATAATTTTGGGTATGTTGTGTTTCCATTTTTGTTTGTTCCAAGATATTTTTTGATTTCCCTTTTGGTTTCTTCTTTCACCCATTGGTTTTTCAGGAGTGTGTTGTTTAATTTCCACATATTTGTTAATTTTCCAGCTGACTTCCTGTTATTGATTTTTAGTTATATACCATTGTGGTCAGAAAATATATGATTTCAATCTTCTTAAATTTGTTAAGACTTTTGTGACCTAATATGTGATCTATCTTGGAGACTGTTCCATGTGTGCTTAAGAAGAATGTGTATTCTACTGTTGGGTGAAATGTTCTCTGTATGTCTTTTAGGTCCATTCAATCTAAAGTGTAGTTCAAGTCCAGTGTTTCCTTATTGATTTTCTGTCTGAATGATCTATGCATTGTTGAAAGTGGGGTATGGAGTATTGAAGCCTCCTGCTATTACTGCATTGCTGTCTGTTTCTCCCTTCAGATCTGTTAATATTTGCTTAATATGTTTAGATGCTCTGATGTTGGGTGCATGTATATTAACAATTATTGTATCCTCTTGATGAATTAAACTTTTTATCATTATAAATGACCTTCTTCATCTCTTATTACAGCTTTTGAGTTACAGTCATTTTGTATGATAGAAATACAGCTATCCCTGCTCCTTTTGGTTTTCATTTGCATGGAATATTTTTTTCCATCCCTTCACTTCCAGCCTATGTGTGTCCTTAACAATGAAGCAAGTCTCTTGCAAGCAGTATATAGTTGGATCTCGTTTTTCAAACATTTAGCCATACTGACAGAATAATTTAAAATTACCTGTCTTTGAGGGGCTGGCCCCGTGGCCGAGTGGTTAAGTTCGCGCGCTCCGCTGCAGGCGGCCCAGTGTTTCGTTGGTTCGAATCCTGGGCGCGGACATGGCACTGCTCATCAGACCACGCTGAGGCAGCGTCCCACAGGCCACAACTAGAAGAACCCACAACGAAGAATACACAACTATGTACCGGGGGGCTTTGGGGAGAAAAAGGAAAAAATAAAATCTTTAAAAAAAAAAAAAATTACCTGTCTTTGAGTTCTCAGATTTTTTTCTATACTTGATTAAATCTGATGTTGATGCTCTCTCTTGCATTTTTCATTTCATCCATTGTATTCTTTAGCTCCAGAATTTCTGTTTGGTTCTTTTTTATGATTTCTGTCTCTCTGTCGAACCTCTCATTTTGTTCATGTATTGTTTTCCCGATTTTGTTTGGTTATCTATTTGTGTTCTCTTGTAGCTTACTGAGCTTCCTTAAAACAATTATTTTGAATTCTTTGTCAGACGATTCGTAGATCTCCATTTCTTTAGGATTGTTTGCTGGAAAATTGTGTTCTTTTGGTGGTGTCATGTTTCCCTGATTTTTTGTGTGTTCCTTGAAATATAGCATTG